TAGGGCTTCAGCAAATCAGACAAATATGCAGGTGCCAGACCATTTAAGGATTTAAAAACCGATAAAAGGACTTTAAAATGAATCCTAGATTTAATTGGAAACCAGTGAAGGGAGGCCAGAACGGGAGTAATGTGCTCAAATTTTCTTCTACCAGTTAAAAACTGTGACGCAGCATTCTATACTAGTTGCAGGCGTGTCAGAGTGCCTAGTCCAACCCCTAGTCAAAGGGAGCTGCAATAGCCCAAGCGTGAGGTTATAAAAGATAACAGTCTCCAAATCACGCCTTGAAAGAAAAGGTTTGAAATTCAACAGACGCCTGAGATGATAGAATGATGATTTCACAACCCCATTCATGTGGCCATCAAAGTAAGTGCAGAGTCGATTTTTACCCCAAGATTGGTAATCGAGCTCTTCAGGTGAGGGGTCAGAGCAGCAAGGTCAAAATCAGGGGTATCAGAGGAACGATACGGGCCGAACAGAATTGCTGTGTTGTGGTGTGGTGTGCTGCTAGCAGCTGGGAGCTGCAGCCAATGTAAATAAATGGCTCATAATTACAATCTGTGGTCCCGTCATGCTTTATTCACACCACATCGAGTTGCCAGAGATTCACAGAATTTACAGAAAATGCTATTTTGCAATATATATTGTTATCGGGATAAGAAATGTTTTATATTGGGATATGAGATTTTGGTCATATCGCACAGAAATATCATAAACAAAAACGTAACAAAACATTAAAAGTGCGACTGGGGGACATGACTACTATAGAATTCTTCACTGAAAAGATATATCAGAATTTTTAGATAAGGTTGCAAAATTAGTCTTAAAGACTATGGATTTTGTCAAATAAATTCACTGTCCAACTCAGTATGAATCACATTTTTCAGTTACTTTGGATACTGACTCCTCTAAACCAGTGTTCCCATACATGGTGGACTGGAGACTGTCATGTTTTTTATACAAGCATAGCAACATAATTCAACTATTATGATGTCTGCTATTTATACAATTATAGTTCAAACTGTATGTCAGACAGTTTGTACAGCTCAGCTGTGTCACATCTTCAAACCAGAGCCCCTGGAGCTCCCATCTCTCCTGAGTGGATGTTGATATGGACCTGATACCAACAGCGTTTGTAGTTGCACACGTTTACATTTCACTGTGTTTTTCACTGAGCAACTTTTCAGCTGCCCTGCTTTTAGCACACACACACTTCCCACCTCAGCTCTCAGCACATCTTTTATCAAGGAGCCATGACTAGACTTTTCAGGTATTTGTTTGTGAAAAATGTTTGGAATCATGTATGATTTTCGTTCCACTTCTCACGTGTACACAACTTTGTATTAAGATAAGATAAGATAAGATAAGATAAGATAAGATGACCTTTATTAGTCCCACAGGTGGGAAATTTGTTTCGTTACAGCAAAAGTGCAAAGTTATGTAGCAGAAATTAGAAAACACTGGAATGCAATAAAATAAAATACTATATACAATAGAATAAAATAGAAGACAAATGCTATATACACCGGCAGCACGGTGGCACGGTGGTTAGCACTGCTGCCGCACAGCAAGAAGGTCCTGAGTTCAATTCCACCATCAGGCTGGGGTCTTTCTGTGTGGAGTTTGCATGTTCTCCCCATGTTTGCGTGGGTTCTCTCCGGGTACTCCGGCTTCCTCCCGCCGTCCAAAGACATGCAGCTTGTGGGGATAGGTTAATTGGATAATCCAAATTGCCAGTAGGTGTGAATGTGAGTGTGGATGGTTGTCTGTCCCTGTGTGTTGGCCCTGCGACAGACTGGCGACCTGTCCAGGGTGTACCCTGCCTCTCGCCCTATGACAGCTGGGATAGGCTCCAGTGCCCGCGACCCTGAAAAGGAAAAGCGGAAGCGAATGGATGGATGGATGCTATATACAACTGAATAAGAAAATACAAAAGTATAACTTTGTCAGAAAAAGAATTGTACATATAGCAGTCTTATTGCACATGGTTTGATCAGCTGCAAAAGTCTTTGTTGTTGAGTCTGACAGGAGTGGGGAGGAAAGACCTGCAAAATCTCTCCGTCCCACATCGTGGGTGCCGCAGCCTTCCACTGAAGGAGCTGCTCAGTGCTGTCAGAGTCTCCTGCATGGGGTGGGAGATGTTGTCCAATAGGGATGACAGCTTAGCCACCATTCTCCTGTCACTCACCACCTCCACTGGGTCCAGAGGGCATCCTAGAACAGAGCTGGCCCTTCGAATCAGCCTGTTCAGTCTCTTCCTGTCCCCAGCAGAGATGTGGCCACTCCAGCAGACCACACCATAAAAGATGGCTGAGGCCACCACAGAGTCATAGAAGGTCTTCAGGAGTGGGCCCTCTACTCCAAACGATCCGAGTCTCCACAGCAGGTACATCCTGCTCTGCTCTTTCCTGTAGAGGGCTTCTGAATTATGAGTCCAGTCCAGTTTATTGTTAAGATGAACACCAAGGTACCTGTAGTTGTCCACAGCCTCGATGTCCATACCTTGGATGTTCAGTGGTTGCAGTGGAGGATGTTTGTGCCTGCGGAAGTCTACCACCAGCTCCTTGGTTTTACTAGTGTTGATCTGAAGGTAGTTCAGCTGGCACCAGTCCACAAAGTCTTGGGTCAGTTCTCTGTACTCCTTGTCATCCCCATCAGTGATGAGGCCGACTATTGCGGAGTCATCAGAGAACTTCTGCAGGAAGCACTGGGTGGAGTTGTGGGAGAAGTCTGCAGTGTAGATGGTGAAGAGGAACGGAGCCAGAACCGTTCCCTGTGGGCCCCCGTGCTGCAGACGACCTTGTCTGATACACAGCCCTGAGTTCTCACATACTGTGGTCGGTCAGTGAGGTAGTCCAGAATCCAGTGAGGTAGTCCAGAATCCATGTCCAGAATCCACTCCTGAGTTCTCCAGCTTGTCCTTCAGGACCGTGGGAAGAATGGTGTTGAAGGCACTGGAGAAATCAAAGAACATCATTCTCACAGTGCTCCCAGCGGTTTCCAGGTGAGAGAGGGAACGATGTAAGAGGTGGATGACGGCATCATCCGCTCCAATGCCAGGTTGGTAGGCAAACTGAAGTGAGTCCAGTGATGAGCTCACCAGTCGCCGAAGCTGAGCTAGGGCCAGCCGCTCCAGGGTCTTCATCAGGTGGGATGTCAGAATCACTGGCCACTAGCAGTTGAGGTCCTTGGGGCGTGAAGTCTTTGGCACTGGTACAACACAGGAGGTTTTCCAGAGTATTTTGGAAAACCAGTATTGGTCTTTCACGTGGAATTCCAATAAAATTGATTCATGTTTGTGGCTGTAATGTGACAAAATGTGGGAAAGTTCAAGGGGGCCGAATACTTTTGCAAACCACTGTATATGTGACACATTGTGGTTAATTGGGTGAATAGATTTATATTTGTCCAACCAACTATATAACATTCTTTTACATTTTCTTTCTTTTTGTATTTCTGGGCACTGATTTTCCCTCATTCATACCAAGGCATTATGTGTTACATGTGAATCATTAGTTAACTGTTTATTCTATATTTGTCATTGGGCTGTCCTAAAAATGCCCTGAAAAGTCTTCAGTTCTATATCACCACTGTAAGATTCGGGAGAGGCACCATTTAAAGGATTTTTAAAAAAATACTTTCCAGTGTGTTTGGTGTTCAACATTTATTTTGAAATGTTACCTCCTCTCCTGTTTATTTTAGTTATTTTCACCCGGAATAATCTATAAAATCTACAAGAATATCTTCAACTAACAACTGTATTGTACCTTTTTGTCACTCTGCTTTGGCAGTCAGCATTCTCTGTGAAATCTTCAATTCAACTGAATACCATCCCTGATACCATTAAGTATTCCAGCTTTTATACCACCTTTAAAACAGATTAAAATATGCTATTTAAAAGTAGAATAGGAGGGAGACCCTTCAGCTTTCAAACCCCTCTTCTGTGGAACCACCCCCTGGGGGCTTCCCATGATGAGTGTTTTTTCTTAACTCACCTTTTTCGCTGACCATGTGTTTATATACCACTACACATTTAATCATGGGTTGTTATTAATATCTAGCTCTCTGCAACAGTGTGTCTTTTGTTTTGTCTTCCTCTAATCTGAGATTGTATGTTTCACTGAAACTTTTCAAAGTATTTCTGACATGTTAAAACAACTGCTGGGGACCCAGAGATTTTTAACAGCTCCAACTACTTGAGGATCTGGGCATAGACACAGTTGTCACAAGTGAATGGGCCAAGTTTGAGACCCTTGTCAGTCTATTTGAACCCTTTACCATTTATGCAGAAAGCCTTCAGAATGACAGCCAGCCAGTCTCACAAGTAGTGCTGTCTGTTCAACCTTGAGGCAAATAAACTGATTAATCGGTTTAGCAATCTGTTAGTTGAAGTGCTGCTTTTTGAGAGTAAGAGAGTAACATTTGCTGATATTCTTAATCGTGATTTTACGTAATTTGATGTTGCACAATCTAGAGCCTGGCTGTTGGACTTAAATGTTTCACTGATTCTTCAATAATCAGATAAAATGTTGCTGATAAGAGCAGGACAGCCCTTGGTACAGACTCCCAGTCCATCCTCATCCCTCCATTGGAGGGGATGACATCAAATATCTGAAATCTCTGGTGATATGTAAATACAAAAATTGCCAAGCCCTATGTCTAGTGTGAGTGGATGAATGAGCTGCCAACTGAAAACTTGTGGGCCTTTAAATACCAAAGTCTACACTTTGCCTGGTTAACCCACAGCTGTTTGGGTGTGCCACAGTTATTTCTTCATAACAATTTTATATGGCTGGTAAAGACTTATATTTATATATTTAGATATTTAACCTCTTTCTTTCCTTGAAAAAGTTCCTTATTTTTTTGTAACTCCAAAGCTTACATATTACATTTTTTTTCTTTTTCTTTTTTCTGAAACATATTTTACCACATTTTTCCTTTGAGACAAGTTGTTTCTGTCTTTTCTGCCTTAACAACCGCAATTTAAGATTTTGTTGAATATGTCATTACCAAATGCTTCGATCAAAGTAACACACTTTATTATTGGTGGATTTGACACAGTTAAAAGACCTATTGCTGTTGGTGTGGTTATGCTGATAACCTATCTACTTGCTGTTATTGCCAATATGCTAAATATTATCTTAATCATTTTTGACAAGAGATTGCATAAACCAATGTATATTCTGATTTGTAACCTTGCTGTTGTTGATATACTGTACTGCTGCAGTACCACTCCCACAATGATTGGGGTTCTACTTGTTGGTGTTAATACCATATCCTATGTTGAGTGTTTCATTCAAATGTCTGTTTTCCACTTAGTAGGAGTGATGGAGTTGTTTGCTTTAGCAATTATGGCATTTGATAGATTAATTGCCTTTTCTTTTCCTTTTCAGTACCACAGTTATTTAACAAATACACGTACTCTTGTTGTTACATACATTCTGTGGGTTGTTGCCTCTGGTTTTGTTGCTGTTATGCCGGTAACTGCAGCTACGCTTCCTTACTGTACCTCAAGGATGAAGTACGCTTTCTGTGACTATGCTGCTGTAATACGCACCACTTGTGTTGATCCTAATTACTATTTCAATTTAGTCTCAGTCATGATGTTTTTTCTTTTATTTTTCACTTTTTCTTTCATTGGCCTTTCATATTTTGTGATTGCATTCTTAATGAAATTTTCATCAAATAGAGATAAAAAGAAAATGGCAAGCACCTGTGTGAGTCACTTGATTGTAGTAACATGTTATTATTCTCCTTTATTTGTTCTCATTGTCTTCACCAGAGTGGGTGTGGTATTAACACTTGAGGAACGTCAGGGTTTATTGATTGGGACCATCCTTAGTCCATCTCTTGTAAATCCTGTTGTGTACTGTTTCAGGACAAAGGAAATTAAAAATAAGATCTTTAAGATATTCACAAAAAAGGCTGACATACTCAACTAGATTCTTATGAACTGTGACTGTACAAATAAAAGATGCATAATTTTTTAGTCCAAATACTGTGCTGAAATGATGACATTACTATTTTGACTGTCTCTAAGAATGTCTCCCCCTCATTAAACAACCAATTATGCAAAGAAAACAAAGGTTAAAAAATACATTTTTGTGCTGTGTTTGGAAGTCTTAAACTTTCTATGCACCTTTTTGGCCGAAGAATTGTAAACTCTTATTATTTTTGTAACTATCATAACAATATTTACTATTAGCTGTTAATAACAAGTGGTAGGGATGTTAAAAGTAGCAAAAAAACCAAAAAAAACCCCAAAGCCACACACACAAACAATAAAAACACTACAATGCACATAAAACTGCATTAATTGCAAATTGCATAGAAATCAAAGTATAAGTAAATATCCAACAGAAAAATGTTTTTCATTAGTGTTACATGGATTAAGTTTACTGCTGCAAATGTTTAAACTTGAGCTCATTCTAAATATGTCATATTCTGTTGAATCTACAGTAATACATTATTTTATGTAAAAATCATATGTTTGTAGTTTGGCTGTTAATGAGCTCTAATGCAAAGGCCTACATCTAGGCCTAGGGCTTTAATATACACTAAAAAAAGTATATTAAATATCTTCATAAAATAAAATAAAAATCAGAGCTGAATAATAATTTGCAATTGACAAAGCATCAATAACGAACTTTTTAATTCATTTTCTTTTATGATTTCTTACCTCTATTTATATATATATATAACTATTTTCCTAGTATGCAATCTGATATTTGATAAAATATTAACTTCATCAGGTTTTTTTTTTCAAAATGAACAGCACTGTAATTTATATTTAAACTTTTCTTTGAAATCAAGAAAATATATTAAATAATGTACAAATGGCTTAAAACATATTATGTTTCATGTAAAATTGACGTTAACAATATTTTTGCACCAGGGATGGTTAAACTTGTTGGACTTTGATTTTTTGTGATTAATATACTCAGTCTTATGTGAAAAGTATTTTGTTTCATCGTCAAACACTTACATGATTATATTTCAGCATTTTTGAAAAATAAATTGGCAGTCTGTGTCCAGTTTCATTTCAGTCTTTCTTGATACCTCATCATCATAATTCCTACACAACAAGTTAACATCAATGTATATGTATAACAGTGCAATTCACAAGCTTATATGTTACGGTCTGATATGTATATAACTGAGTTATAACTGAGTGACAACCGTTATAATCACTCAGTTATTTTTGTCTTTTTAAAATCATGGTGTTATTATTCTAAAATGACTAGCTGTTACCTAACAAATTTAATGTTTAATAATGGGTAGTCATATTGCCCTTCCTTTTCAGTTAGATTTATATTTGTCACACATGTTTCAGATCATAAAAGAAATATTAATATTAGACAATAGATAACGTGGATAAAAGATAAAAGGAACTTTTTAAATTATATTTTTAATTTACAAATGAAAAAGAAAAAACTCTAACTCCCCTTTTTTGAAAAAGTAATTGCCTGTAATACCCATACCTGATAACTAATAACTGGTAGTGTTACCCTTGGCAGCAAGAACTGCAAAAACATATTCACAATAACTGGCAATGAGTCTTTCACGGTTTAGTGAAGCAATTTTGGCCCACTCCTATTTGTTTTGATTTAGCCACATTGGAGGGATTTCCAACACGAACAGTCTGTTAGAGGTCATACCAAAGCATTTCAATCCGATTTGAGTCTGGACTTTGACTAGACCACTTCAAAACATGATTTATTTATTTTTTAACACATTTTATTTATTAATATATATATCTTCTGACTTTTTTTAGAGTTGGTGTTATGGCCCGTCTAGGCGCGGCCAGACCACAACATAAAAGGCGATCCACCCCTACATGCTCCTACATTAAATCAACATAGTTAAACAGTGAACACATGGTCTGCCAGTTGGGTTGGGCCGAGGATGAATGACCTGGCAGTCCCTGGTGGTGTCTTCTTATGCGCTGCCTCCTGGTCATTAGCCAATCTGTACGGTCCATCCACCCATAGCTGGACTGGCCATCGGTCATACCGGGCATTTGCATTAACAGTTATATCGTTTCATCAGTTAGTTGCTGTAACTTATCCTTCTCAGTGCCAAAATTACATTCATAAGCCCTTTTGCTGCAGGAGTGAAGGGGAAAAGAGAAAGCTAACATATTGTAGTGCGTCCACATTGGGAAAATGTCCAGATATTTATGAGGCAGTATGAAGAATGAATTTGACAGAAGGGTGGATTATTGGTCTTTATAATGGCAAGCACTAAAAGTGCTTCTATTTTTCAGCCATGCAACATTTCTATACTGGGCAATACCATAATACCACAGTATAAGAAATTCAGACCATCAAATACTCATTTAAAATGTTACAAGTGATATATAAATAGCTTCTATTCATTACAGCAGGGCAGGTACAGGAACCGCAATGCAGATATACAGATTAAAATAAGAACTGCAATTAGGAAACACAGAACAAAACTGGGAAGCAAAACAAAACCCAAGCAAGCAAACAAACAAACAAACAACAACAAAAAACAAACAAAAAAACCTTTATGTAATATTAAATAACGTGTGACAATCTTAGCCATAAATGAACAAAACGAAATAGACCTATGCTAAATTATTGAAACAGTAAAGCATGTATGGGTCGCCAATGCTCAGTAAACAATTCTCTCTGAATCCGTAGAGCATACAGGGAGTGCAGAATTATTGGGCAAATTAGTATTTTGTCCACATCATCCTCTTCATGCATGTTGTCTTACTCCAAGCTGTATAGGCTCGAAAGCCTACTACCAATTAAGCATATTAGGTGAT